GGGTGGGAGTTGGGCTCCACCAGGGCTGCCCATTGTCACAGATTCTGTTCATAACTTTTATAGACAGAATTTCTCGGTGCAGCCAGCGGGGGCCGAGGAAGTCTGGTTCAGTGGTTTGAGGATTTCATCTCTATTTGCAGATGGTGTGGTCCTTTAGATGGTCCTGAAAGATCATTCAGGTGCCCAGACTCCTCCACCACGTTAAGGTGGCGAGTCAAGGAGGAGAATCGCCATCTTAGATTTTTACAAATATTGAGCCAAAAATTGATGTGATAGTAGCCGAGAGTTATCTATAACGGATACTTTGAACACTCAGCCCCACCTTCTCTAACCTCTGTCCCACCACTCCCTGTTAGTCTGAACACTAACAAAAGGTCTTTTTTGAATATCTTGGCATGCAAGCCACTATGCATTCTTTTAAAGAATGCAAGTTTTGATTTTAAAAAGTAGCAGGGTTTATTGCAATAACTGAGATTTTTTACGACTAGATAATCTGACGAAAGTCCAACCGACACATAACAAAACCTTCAATCTGAAACAAAGATATACATTTTTTGTGTAAATGTGTTTTCTTCTCCATTAGACAGTTGCTTTCATTCATGCTCCTGGATGTATTTGTTGCTTATTACGTTCTAGTTATGATGATAACCTTACAGCACGTGTTCTTCATCTGCATCCAATAACATATTCAGATTTTCTCCAAGTTTAAAAAAATTCATTTGTGCATTTCAGTCTGCACAAAGCCACTGCTTCCACAAAGTCTGTCATCTTGGTTCAGTGAGTCCACTGGAGATGTTCTATTATTATTATTATTATTATTATTATTATTATTGGCTTTATGACAGCAAGCAAACCACTAGATGGAAAATGAGATCATAACAACATAAACACTCAGCCACACACAAAATCTTAGACCTAAAGGATTATGGTTAAAGTGTCACGGATGTGAGAGGATGCAGACTGACACGAGAAGCTTCAAGAAAACAAAACAACATTTTCTTGCAATAAAAACAAAAGCTGGCGTGGTAGCAAAAAAACTATAAACTAGAATGCACTGAGGAGATACAGAGAAGTTAAAAGAAAACACAGACTGCATGTATTTTAATGGCCCGTTGAGGAACAATTAAAACTTGTGAGTTATATGGACTGGGGCTGAGTAAACATTTCACATGATGACAACGGGACAGGTGAGAGTTTGCGTGGCGGTACTGAGGAGCAGAAACGAACAGTGGAAAACTGTTGGAGAACAGCAGAAACACAGGAAGACATTGAACGCAATGAACACAAAGAAAATACATATACCAAGAGGTAAACATGAAAATAAACCACAAAACAGAGAACTAAATACTGAAAAACACTAACGACCGGTATGTTGTTGAACATGAAACTCTCCTTTCCTCTCAGCGATTGAAATCATTGCATTTATAAAGTGAACACGCAGAATATAATAGAATGAGATTGATGACATCGTAAAACATTTAGTTGCAGTTAGATGAGATTAAATTGTGTTATATGAGGGCAGACCATGTCAAATGTTGTTTGTAATAAAAGACTTAATAGCCTTTTACTGCATATTTGAACAGCAGCCAAGTTTCACCAAGTCCTCCAGTCCCCAAAAACTGCTGAGTGGGTGACCACAGAAACATCTGGATGTTTTAATTTGTTTCCTGACAAATCAATTGAACTTTTTTTTTGTTTTTTCTGATAGTCATGTCACGGTCTGGAGAGTTAGTGCAGACTGGACACAAGAATCTTGAAAAAAACAACTTTATTAAACTAATTAAACTGAAGGCAGAAGTTGCAGCAATCACAAAAAACTCTAGTAGTGTCAGGGAGAACTCAAGGGGGACCAAGACGGCACATATTATCAGATAATACTGAACTGAGGAACAAGCTACATACTGTTAAGAGAAAAGTAATGAATGAAATCACAAACACCAGGCAGGGAGACAAAATGGGAGCAGGTGAGAGTGGGCGGGGCAGGAATCATGGTAAATGGTAAATGGTAAATGGAGCTTACTTCTATAGCGCCTTCCAGCCCCCTATGAGGGGCCCCAAGGCGCTTTACAGTACCAGCCATCCACCCATTCACACGCACATTCATACACCGGTGGCGGTAGGCTGCCATGCAAGGCGCCATCCAGTCCCACCGGGAGCAACTCGGGGTTAAGTGTCTTGCCCAGGGACACAACGGCACATGGTGTGGGAAGTCGGGATTCGAACCTCCAACCTTCCGATCAGAGGTCGGCTGCCACTACCACTGCACCACGGCCGCCCACATCATCACACTTTGTTTTTTATATAAATTATTGTAACTATTGGGATTTATTGCATTTACAAAACAATGAAAGTTCATAGACTGAACAGTAAAAATCCAGCCGCCTTTTTATCCCACAGTTTAACTTAAGTGAAACAGAAAAAAAAAACCATTTGATTTAGTTCAAAAGTGTGAGTTTAGTTGTAACAGACATTGTTATGGATCAATTCTCATAAATATTGTACATAAAAAACAACAAGAGCTTCAGGATGAGACATGTCTAAATTCATGAGACTGATTGTCCCTGTGTGTGCTTGTGTGTGTGTATATATACATGTTATATATATATATATATAAATTAATAATATATATATATATATATATATATATATATATATATATATACACATATATATATATATATATATATATATATATATATATATATATATATATATATACACACACACACACACACAGAGAGAGAGAGATATAAAGATAGATACTGTAGAGATAGATAGAGAGATGTAGAGATAGAGAGATATAGAGAGATATAGAGATAGATATAGAAATATATATAGAGAGATATAGCAATAGATATAGATATAGATATTGATATAGATATAGAGAGACAGAGATAGATATAAAGAGAGATATATATAGAGATAGATATAAAGAGAGATAGATATAGAGATAGATATAGAGAGATATATAGAGAGATATAGCAATAGATATAGAGAGATAGATATAGAGAGATATAGAGATAGATATGGAGATAGATATAGAGATAGATATAGAGATAGATATAAAGAGATATATAGAGAGATATAGAGATAGATATAGAGTTAGATATAAAGAGATATATAGAGAGATATATATAGAGAGATATAGAGATAGATATAGAGATAGATATAGAGTTAGATAGATAGATAGATAGATAGATAGATAGATAGATAGATAGATAG